TTCTAAGAGCCAGATGCAAAACGACCAACCAAGCAATGGGCACAGTTACAATCGTGATTTCATCAACTATAGTTTCTACCATCTTCTGTCCATTCCCTTTGGCACTCCATTAGCCATACACTAGACCTTTTCCCTCAGGGCCTCTTTTCATGTGTAATAGCTTTGCTTTCACTTTAGTCACTGTATATAAAGGAAATGTAGAGGCACCAGATGATACCTTTCTCGACTGAGCAGACAGAGGTCTGCCTTTAGGGTGCAGCTGGATAGACTGAATTGCAGGTTACTGCCACCCCCAACTCAACTTCTAGTCCTTAACCTCAGACCATGTGGGTCTCTACCACCTGTTTTGAGTGTATGTGTGTTGGAGGGAGTGTGGCGGTGATGTAGGGATTCAAGGGGCCTTTCAGAGGTTTTCACTTTGCTCTTTGGCTTTAGACTTCACTCTCTTCACATATTTGCACCTCATACTTGCTCACAAATGTAGCAAGTGTTTTGAAGTGTGTACAAAGCACATTGAGCCCTGCAAGGAAAGCCTTCTCTTCTAAATACCACAAGACCACATGTGGGAAACTCGCTGGCTTCCAACACAACACAATTTCAGTCTATATACCCTAGGTTTAAAATATTCAGTGTTCCAGAAATTTCCAGATTGCTGCCAGCTCCACAACACACCCAAAGGTTTTCTCTTTTCTCAGCAGGGTTGCTCTATAGGGGCCATTGTCAATTCTTAGCACATACTCAACACCGGCAACAAAGAGGCTAATAATAGCACACCTCCAAAGGGCTTTACTCTTTCCAGATTTTAACATGATCTGGCTGCTTTGCTTCCATAATTGTTATCACTATCTTATATTTTAAATTCACACTTCCCCAAGTTTATTTACCTTTTGTAATTTTGTTATTGAAGCAGAAATGGTACACTGCCGTGACTGATGATATTCTAGTTAGCAAAGTATCCAAGTCTATGTGTAAATTCAGTTCCATATATTTTAAACAATTTTTTATTGTGTATGCATTTTTAATATAATGTTTTAATGTATATTAGGTGGGGGGGTTTTAGTTCAGATCATCAACTTTGTATTCAACAGTTTAAACTACTACTCAAACCCTCCAATACTTTACCCTTTCCCTGCTCTTTGATTTCTCTCCTCCCTCTTGTGAACCCAAGTTAATACCCATCAACTATCCATGGCCTTGTCTCTCCTCCCCTTAGCCTCCCCCCAAACTCCAAAGTCTGTTCTCTTTGGTATGAATGCCTTTATTTGATGTTGTGTTTATTTCCATCATCGATGATGATAATATTTGTTCTTTTGTAATTGGCTAAAGTAATGATGATGATGAGTTACCACTTTACACCAACAATGACAGGTTTAAAAAGAAGAAGAAGAAAATAACAAATGCTGGAGAGACTGTGAGAGACTTTCATACACTGCTGGTGGGACTGTACATATGTAAAACCTCTGTGGAAAGCGATATGCCTCTATCTCACACAACTGGGAAAAGAAATTCCCGATGAGCAAGCAATTTCTCTGCTGGGTATCTATCCTAAAGAAGTAACAATCATAACACAAAAAGACATATGCAACCCACATTTATCACAGCACTATTCACAACATCCAAAAAATGGATAGAAAAACTCTGGAACATACAAACCCACAACAGAAGACTCTATGTTGCTAAAATACAATGAAGGTGCCACAAAACACTTGATGGCGTGGATGGACCTGGAGAACATTATGCTGAGTAAAATTAGCATCCTTACACAAGAGCATTTTATTTTCTCCTCAGTTACATTTTGAAGCTGCATACTTTTAGTTATCCCTCATTTTCTGAAGCCTAATTATTCGTGGGGGTAAGAAGAGGGTTCATCTCAGGAGTTCTACAGTCTGAAAAAAATTTCTGGCTTCTACATTTTCCTAAGTTTTTAATCATTTACTATATTAGTATATTAGATTATAAATTCCATCTATATTAGTATATTAGATTATAAATTCCATCTAGTTCAAGACTGAATTTCATTGCAATAGGAAGGGATCGTTGGATATTTTCTCTAATTCACTATAGAGTACAAGAGCTTTCACATAAGTCAGGGAAAGAAACTGAGGGTTCATTTTCTACACTACTATTCAGTTGTGATTGGTACCTGATGGGAAAGAAATCATGGAAATAAAACAAGAACACACAGTTATAGATTAGGATACACTGGAAATAATTATTGGGATTATATCATTTATTAGTACAGTATTTGAAGAAACATGCTATCTCTTCACTCTAATATCTCCAGCTTCTTGCCTTGGTCATAACCATTGAAGATTCTTGTATTATTTTAGAAGACTGTAAGGAGCCAAATATGTTCTTGAAAAGTGTTTTAATGAAAAAGTTTAAAGATATTTATGATAGCATAACCTATACTTATATATATGGATGAACTATTGTTTGGTGTCGTAGAATCTTGAACTGTTTTTGTTGTGTATTGTTGACTTGTAGTAACCTTTTAGGACAGAATAAATCACCCCATAGGGTTTCCTAAGCTGTAGACTCCCCAAAAGAAGACAGCCAGAAGTTTCCCCATTAGAACCATTGGTGTGTTTAAACCACCAAACTTCTGGTTAACAGACAGGTGCTTAAACATTATACGGCCAGTGATCCATGATCCCGAAGGACAAGTACTTATGTAATATAGATATATAACAAAGAGTTGACAAATTCTATTCACAAAGCCAAAGATGTCTTCTATAGACATTAATATTTTTCCTATAGACATTAATTACTAAGACCTATAACAGCAAACAGAATAAGCTAAATGCATTTGAGTTATGCAGATGAAATAAAAAATAAAACCAAACGCACTGCCATTGCATTGATTCTTACTCATCGTGACCCCATGGAATGGAGAAGCTGCCCTTGGGGGTTTCTGAGGTTGTACATCTTTAGGGAGCAGAAAGCCTCATCGCCCCGCCCCCGTGGAGCAGCTAGTGAGTTCAAATTGCTGAACTTGGGTATTATGTGACCTATTATGTGACCAAGGCTCCTTTGTAGGTAATAATTAAAATCAGTGCTCATTAAAACTCTATTTCCAAATGATTTTAAGGGTAATTATTATGCATTTTAGGAGCCCTGGTGACATAAGACTTAACTGATGGATTACTATGAGTCGGCATTGACTCAATGGCAATGAGTTTGGGTTGGGTTTTCTTATAAATTTTGCATCAAATATGCTGAATGGATTACTTTCAAAAAAAGAACAATATACAGCTACGGCACAGAGTATATAGGTACTCAATAAATATGTGCTAATAAATAAATAGAGACTGAATTAGTTTATTGTGCCAACCTGGCCGATAAATACATGTGGGGCTAATTGAAGGGTGGAGAGATAAATGGCTTGGTGAGCCCCGCCTTTAGAGTTCTCAGGTCTCTTGCTTTCTAATGGTCGGACCACTGTGCAGCTGCCTTAGCCGGTTCCCTGCTTCAACTGACAAGGTTCACTTTCTGCAAGACATCCCTGAGGAGAAGCTGCATGGACCTACCCCAATGCAGCCCTGGGTGCTAAAGCACCAGTGTGGAGACCCCTGCCAGCACTGAGATGTTTACACATTCACTGACTCAGCTTTCCTCCTGCAGTTGGTGTCATAGTGTGTGTTTTGTGAGATGGAGGAGGACTTTGTGGATTGGTGTTGGACATATGGGTTAATGTTGGACTTGTGGGCTTGGGCAGCACTGGGTTGGGATATTTTCTTGATGAGCACTTAACCTTTATATAAAACTCTCTCTTATAATACATGAGTTTCTGTTGATTTGTTTCTCAAAAGTACCCAGACTAATACAGAGACCAAGCTTCTTTTAGAAAAATCACACTAAAAAAACTTTAAACAGCCACAGAAACAAATTTCTGATTATTTGAAGGCATAAATGTTTCAAATTAGAGTAGAAAAACTTAGCTTAAACCAAATGAAAAAATTAAAGTCCACTTTAGTTAATAAAAAATATGCAATGTTCTCCGTACCTCTGATGCTTGAGTTCTGGGTCAGTTTGTGATTCTCAGTGGTTTGGCAGTTGAGGTCTAGTGATGTCCTATAATGTGACCTAACATAGTGTAATCAACTCCATAATGGGAATTGTTATGAGCAGCCAGTTATTTGTAAGAAGATTAGGGTGGACTGTAGCACCCTTACATCAGGGTCTCAGTCCTGATGCAATTGGGAGGGGTTCGTTCCCTCAGGCGGGTGGCCTACTTCTTATGTGGGCATGCTGTGGGAAAGCTTTTGCTGGGTCTGGATCCTGCATCTGGTACCTTGACCTCTGGTCCTTTGGCTTGGGCCAATGGCCTTCCATATTGCTTGCTGATATCAGGAGCAATCCCTGGCTGGCCTGCCATATAAGCTGTTGACCTTGGATCCACCTGTCTCTTCAGACACAGCCTGAGCTAACTCCCACTGGATTCATCTGCAGTCACTGGCTTGGAGGGACTAGGACAGGACTGGCTAGCTTCTATGACTGTGTGAGCCATTTTCTTGATACACATTTATCTCTCTTTCCATATACATATAGATATAGATATTTATATACATATATACCTGTCACTACTTTTGCTGCTTTGGAGAACCCAACCTAACAATGAATTATATTTTGCTATTATCCCCTTCGGGCATAAACAAATGTTAAATTATTTAGTCTATCAAGGGTCAGTTTCAAACATTAGAAATGTAAATGAGAAAGTCAGGTCTTCTTTATTTTCACTATTCATTCAATATTGTTAAACTAACTTAGCAGGGCAAGTACTTACTCTCTCTATTTAGGTTCAGTGGATTGAATATACCAGAGGCAGATTAGCCAAGATTATATAAAAGTTAAGTTTCCGTATGCAATAATTAACATTCATTTTCCATTTAATTGCTATCATTGCATATATAATGCATACTTATAATATCCATCTCAATTGTGTGTGCATATTTAAGTAAAATAATTTTATCATCTCATATTAGAATATTAAATTGTACCTTATTTTTCTCTTGTATGGACTTCTGGACACGTTCTCTTAAGGGTTTCTCCAATGAGTTATTCACTTGTGTCGGAGATCTATGTTAAAATTTTTTTAAAAGCAAAAATTAATCAATAAAAGTGGCTTTAAAAACTATTTTTA